GTTGAAAATATATTTAAATACAAATTTTCCTGCACGTTTAGATTGTGCGTCGTCCTTATGTCTTCATTTATCGGTCAGAAAAGGATCCCGTGGAGCGTGCAGTCTTGAATTTGGCTACGGCACAGGTGGAAGTGCAGCGAGGATCAGGCTGCCATGGTTAAGATACCCACACATTCAGGTAAATCCAGTTTTGTTTCTGCTGCAGTTATTTAGTTAATATAGAGCAACTCTCTGCTTTAGTCGTGGTGACGCAAACATCGCGGCTACTTGCTGGCAAACGCTCGGCGACAAGGAGGTGCATGACTGGCTCTATGCAATTAATCCATTGCTGGCTGGACAAATTAAGTGAGTTTGATGCCGCAACATTCTTATCAATATTCGGTGAAACGGATTGTATAATCTTGCAGATCTCGTTTGTGCACGTCCGCACCCTGGAGCCAGCCTCGCAGACCGCTTCACAGATACAAGCCACCACAACTGCAAATTCCGCGAATTGCGAACAAATGAGATACAATTACGATGGAATCCGTTTTGGGTTTACTGAGACGCAGGCTACAGTTGGCTGCAGCGTATTGGGATAGGTAGGCGCTTGATGAACTACAATACTTAGACCGAGACTATCTGAGGACGCGTCGATTCCAATGCGAAATGGCCAACATTTGAAGTAGGATTCCATCGAAATGTTGTTAATTTAATTGAGAGAAGCGTAATGGTTTTTTGTAGTTGTTTTTAAGTTGGAACGCAACAGCTAAAGCGATAACTAAGTGCAAACAGTACGTAATTATTAAGTAGTGCATATTAATGAACAATATAAATGCAATAATTATTTGAAATATAAATTCGGAAGGTGCAGCTTAGCCAGGCTACACAAAATGCGCCTGCATTAAGTTGTAGATAATGATTTTCCCTCCATTTTTGTAATGTAGTCATTTAATATACATATGCTATATGTTTTGTAAATAGTTTATGATTGTAAAAATATTGCTATTACTTAGTTTAAATTTACATATTACATTTTTTATATTTATGCTTTCAAGTGATATTCGGATATTATGTTGACCATAGGCAGTTTTAAACCACAACTTGTTTATTAGGGCTTTTGTTAAATACCTTTATATAAATAATCAAATAAAACAACACCGTATAACACACAAAAATCGTATATTTATAAATATATATGCATTTTAAAAGAGCAAGCAAACCAAAGTTAATTTATTTAAACAATATAAATATGTATAACAATTATTGTAAAAACATATATATTTGCTGTTTATACACAAATTTTGAACTATTTATGTATTGTTTAATGAAACCCATTGACGCAAGATATATGGAAACGCATTGAATTAAATGATAATATAAAAATGGAACTTCGTACAGTATATAGACATAGTGGACGACAAGTTAATCAGGCGAATAAAGAAAGCTCAGCATACAGCAAACTGCGTATCGTGTTTAGTTTGTTAAAAGTTTAGAAATAAATTCATACGTGTCTACGTATACAATTAAATATAAACTATAATTTTGAAAAATGTTGTTAACCACACGAAAGTCGTAAACAATTAACATGTAAATGGCACATGGGCCATTATAAAGTGACACTTTCTTATTAAGCATAAATCAAGGTAAACCCAAAACTGTATATGTTTATTCAAAACAATGCTAATCAATTATAATTGTCTGTCAAAACAAAAGTTCGACTACCAATCAAAGAAAAAAACACGACTTAACTGCTAATATGGCTAATTTAAACAACGCTTTGCAATGTTTGCTTGGCTTCGCTTCATTTATATCCTATTTGGTTTGTTACTTGAAACCCGATGAGAACCACCTGCTAAGCTTAAAGCAAAACTAAAAGTAATTTTATAAACGAATCTTAAAGAAATGCAATGCCACCTGTATATTTCAAGTAAAACAATGCGCTTTCAATGCATATATGGTGTGTAAGTATTTATTTACATACAAATAACGAGCAAATGCTAAATTATACTACTACGTACTTTATACTATATTCGAATGTTTTCGATTCCAATTAATTTGCGCTAATGATCAATTAATTTATTTCTACTTAAAACAAAGCACAGAGACCAGGATATATAAGCAAGAGAAAAAGGCTCTGCCCAGCTCTAGCTTGAAGCAAGCAGGACACATAAGGGTTAAAACAATTTGGACGCTTCTAAATGCATATAAGCGGGCCATAATATTGTTAAAAAGTCTGCTTTCGTTCGTGTTTGACTTTGAGGAACACACAACGTTAAGGGGACAGATCGGAGAGGGTGCTGAGTTTGGAATTCGCATTTTTTATTTATAGCAAAATGTAAACATTTGTTAAACTATTGAGATAATTTCCAATTGTAAAATACTAGAGAATTGTAATAATACAAAGCGTAATTTGCAAAAAACCAAAAAACAAACAATATTTTATTCTATCATGTTTATACTTGTATGTTTCCCTTTTTGCGGTGTTTAACTAACCTCCATATAGTATTACATTTAAAAATGCACACAAGCGGAAAATCTATGGAAAGTAAAATGCATGAATGCATTGGGACTATACACATATATATATATATATGTATATCTACCATATAAGCCACTTAAGTTATACATACATATGAATACAGTACATTTGAATTTACACATATAAATACAATCTCTCTCTATATAGTATATGTATGCAAATGTCGAAACAAGCGTTCAAAATGCGTGCAAATTGAATAAGCGAAAAAAACTGGTTCGTTTCGGTTACAAAAAATTGGCTGAACCAATTTAAAAATCGTGGATAGGAAAACAAGAACACCAGAAATGGTTGGAAGATTTAATTTAGAGTGACAAACCAATAAAAAAAGATGTATGCTATATGTATATTTAATCCAATATTGATATATACGTGGGCGTATCACTATTAAACAAATATATATAAAAATAAAAAGGCTTTAAATAAAATCATTGGTGACTCATTATTCTGGGAGGTAATACTTGTAGATACAAATTTTCGAACTGATATTTTTATTTCAGTTTAGTTATTTAAGTTAAGCAGCTTTTATAAGTTTTTTGGAATTATATGCGAATATTTCAAATTAAAATTTCATATACTAATGAAAGTAACTTAACGAATAAAATAACACCCTATATATATATGGTATATATATAATTACATTATATATGGATTTAAGTAAGAAAGAAATCACCTCATTTTGTTAGTATTTTCTTGATGTTATTGTTTGGTATTATTTTTGTGTTGGCGATATCGTAAAAAGACTAAATACTTGTAGATAAAATCAAATCAAATTATATCCAAGTAACGCAGGGTGGGTTATAAAAATTGTTGATGGGAAAAACAAGGCAGCAGAATGGATTGGGGGAATTAAATTAGAATAATAAGCCGGCTGCTGGCAGAACGGAAGGAGAATAACCCATAGATATTGTTTGCTCGCCATTTTTATTTAACCTTCTCTTGAGCCCTTATGTATGAGGCTTTTCCAGTTATTACGTAAGTGGAACAAACTGTTTTATTCTGGCACGTTTGCCCCGCAAGATTTAATATTGTTATTCATTAGGGTTATAATCGTCATGATCTTTTAATACCTCCCAAGTGCTGCTTCAAAATTCAATTCAATCATACTCAACCAATAGTACGTTTCTTTTTTCCGTATAAATTACTTGTCGTTAAACGATGAACATTTGAAAATGACTTAGAGAAATAAAGAACACCCTATATATATTGTAATTGCATTATGTATAGTTTAAACTATAAATAAAAATCAAAAGAAACCAGTCGCCATGCTAATTAAGATATATTACTTTACCTATTTGTATACTTAAACAGTTCCGTCAGTACAGCCCTTGTGAGGGAAATCACTTCAGGAAAATGGAACTCATTAAAGTCATCTTGTGCTTGAGCATTTTATCAGTATGTACATAAATCAATTTAAAGCAATAAATTTATAATTAAACATTTGACTTCGAGCTCTTCTCTTCCATAAGTTTTGCTGAAGATCGTAATAGTCTAGACAAACCTAGGCGGAACCATACGATTGGGACAAGATTTTCAAATGCGGCCAAATCGCTATTGAGGGAACTGCTGCAGTTGCTGTTAATGTAATTGGGATTAATTAAACACGCCATTCGATGTATTGATTTTAAGGCACCGCCAAATCCCAACGCAGCATAATCCGAACTATAAGGACGGTCTACGAGTTCATGAAGAGGCTTCTCCTTAATAACGTCGTTTGCCTAATAGAGAGCATTCAGAAAATAGGATCTTTGGTGAAGCCTCACATTGATGCATTTGAGGATTTAAATTGCTTGGACGAAAATGATATTTGAATATACTTTATAAATATACTGGTAAAATAAATACAAGTCCTCAGAGCCTATTTTATCGACAACTGAGTTCCGATTGGGTAGTAGGAAATACTTCAATTTTCTTTATTTTTATATTTATTTATTTATTTATATTCTCGCTTGTTGGAGGAAATCTTAAAGAGCATGATAAATCCAACAATTTGTGATTGAACAGAAAGATCTACAATATATATTTTTAGTTTCTCATTAAGCAATGAATATATATGGGCTCTTTAAAAGCATAGCTACATTGTTGGTAACATTTTAAAGGTGTGTTTTTTGTTCTAAGAAATGTTCTTTGCATTTCTCATCTTATATTTTCTATATATGTTACGTACATATGATACATATGATGATATGTATATTACATAACATGCCCTTATGGTAATACGAATATGGAACACACCCATGTCTAATATCAATAGTTTCAGTATTATTGTCGTAAGATTATAAATCGAGGAGAAAATTAAGGCAAGAAAATGGCGTTACGTTGATATAAGTACTTACATAAGAAGTGTGTACATATTCGTATATTTCGCCCTGGCCTTTATGTGTGAAATTTCAAATTTTCTAAGCCTCCAGGCATTTGTATTAAGCTCTATAAATTGCTTGCAATTTGGATGATTGGTCCTAGTATGGTATTACGGTTTTAGTTAAAAGCATACTAAATAAAAATGTACGCTATGAAGGCCACGTTGTGTCTGAGTATATTGGCGGTAAGTATTTTTTAATAACGTGGAATATAGCCCCAACTAGAAACTTGTTTCATCAACAGCTCTACATGTTGCCCTTTACAATGGGTCAAGGAACAACTCTGGCAATAACGCTTCCAGATTTTCCTAAGCTTGCTGTTTGCATTGCACCATTAAGGGATTTGGTGCTACCACTTGCCACAAAATTGATACCACTTGCTGCAGAGCTTTACAAGTGTGTCGATTTTAAACAGGAAACTAATCCGGGTTATAAACTGGCTGTTATTCTGAAGAATACCTACAATTGGTCGAAAAAAGCACTCCTAGAGAAGTTAAGTTTGCGCGGAAACACTGGTTAAGAAAGTCTATGAGGTCGCTAAGCCTAGTCTTGTTAAGTTCGAGGCGAACGAGTGCTGGAAATTTTTGTAGTGCGTTCGCAGCATGCGAGTGCATTCATGAATAGGAAACTCCAATATTTTCGTATTCCAGCAATCACGAAAATAAATAAATACATTTTTATAGAAAATGTGTGTATCAAATGAGTTGAAAATTGTAAATTGTTTTGTCATTTAATTTTCAGTTTAGATTAATAAAAAATTACACAATCAAAATGTAAACAAATAAGGAATGTACAAATCAATGAAGCCTTTAAATAACAATTGCATAACAATCTAAAGTGTTAAAATTTTCACATGCATACTTTACAAAATTATTGGATATGCCATTATTTTGACTGACTTAGTTTGCTTCTCAGGAAAGACATGGTTTGTATTCAGTTTGTTGTATAGTGGAAAAGGGCACTAACCTCCTAAACTAAGTATAAAAGGAAATACTATGTAATAAACACAATATTTATATACAAATTGGTACATCTACGGTTTCACAACTCTTTTGTTTCAAATAAGTATAGAAATATTGCAGAAATAAAGTAGATGACGAATGCTGTATATGTATTATATGAGTATATGCAAGGGCGTAGGCAGCTTTTACCAAAGGGGGGGGCCAAAAAATTTATATTTTGATTAAATAATGAACGATGCATTTGAAAATGAAAAATGAAAAAACTTCAACAAATGCAACTCAGATCCATTTCAAGGCGAAATAGTGCTTCATAATAATGAGCCTGTGCTCGGCTTTATATGGCAAAATTTTTTGTAGGAGGGGGAGGGGGAGCAATGGCCCCCCTGCCTACGCCCTTCAGTATATGTGTGCAAAGAAAATTACTGAAGACGACTTATATAAGGAATTTTATGAAGACGATGACTTTCACCTTGACCTTTGGGTGTGAAATTTCAAATTTCGTAAGCTTCGAGGCATTAGTCTATAAATTGTCAGCAATTTGAAGCAATGATCCTAGTATAGAGTAACTGTTTTACCTAAAAGCATACAAGAAAAAAATGTACGCGATTAAGGCCACGTTGTTGTCTAAGCATATTGACGGTAAGTATATTTTTTCAATAGGGAGGATATACCTCAATTTCGATCTTTTTCCACCAACAGCTGTACCTCATACCCTCTACAATGGGTCAAGGGGCGACGACATCAATTGCGCTTCCAGATTTTCCGAAACTTGCTAGTTGCTTTGCTCCATTAGTTGACATGGTAAAACCCTTGGCTGAAAAAATAGTGCCATTTTCCAAGGACTTTCTTAAATGCGTTGGTGCCAAATCTGATCCTAATCCGGGCTCAAAACTGAACCTTTACGTGAAGAACGCCTACGTTATATTGAAGAAGGCACTTATTGAAAAGTTTAGCTGCATAGGTGATGGCAATTAAGAGTTTTTATGGAGTAATGAAACCTTCTCTTGAAAAGCTGAGGCGAACAACTGTTGGCAGCATATTTAGTGCTTTTAAAGCATAACCTACTGTCTTGTAGCTGCAGTTATAAAGATACATAACTAATAATGAGACGTTCAATGTCAATATCAAATGTTATTTGCCTACTACGTATACTACATACTTGTACATAAGCAATGATAATAAACTAAATTTTGACATTTTACATTTCTTTTACTAATTTGGAAATTGTGTTTAATTATCAAGTATATTCATCATCATCAGTTTCACGAACTTTCATCAAGTTTTGCTCCAGAAATAGTTAGTGTATTTGTTTAGCATCGAACATATTGACGCATCTATCTATCTCAAGATTTTGGGTCCAATACGTGCTGTCCATTTTTTCTTTATCGGCGCTAGCATTGCTTAGAGCCAGCACTACGATCACTAAAAGATGAGACACATATGATCTTCATTTTAGAGTTTGTGAATCACTTTACAAACTTACAATACAATTGGATAATTCCCAAGACTTTCATGATTAGAATGTATAGTAATAGGCAACGGCTGGACGCTTTTATAGTTACAATAGGCTAAGGTTCGGGGCACGATAGAAGATTAGGAGCTGCATGACTCCAAGTTACGAGCAATACGTGAGTAAGCAATTATTAGTGCACAGATAATGTAAAATTAAGATTCAGAAAGCTGGGTGGTCACATAATCAAGATTTAGTTATAACTGTTTTCTCGTAAATATTTAGTACAAGTTTCCAGCATTTTCGATTGAAAACATCTCAAAACCTTTTCCTTACTCAAGAGTTCTCCTAAAAAGTTATTGATAATTTATTTCTTTTATCTATCTGGAAATAGTACTTAAATCTAAAAAGTTATTATAATAGCTTTTGGCGGTCCATGACCATGGCTGAAAAAAATGTGTGTGCAGTAAGGTGCTGGAAAAAGATTAAGATTTTAGTTGGAAAGCAGCGAAAACATGTTAACTGTAGTTAACATTTTAATTAAAAAGCATGGGGTTAGTTGAAACCCTTACCATATACCTATATGTAGACCAAAAGTGTTAAGCACTATAGTTGAGTCAAATTGAATTATACTAGTTTTGAAGGCACATATCCAATACTTACCGATAAATATTGCAACCTACTCTTAAATATCTAAAAAGCATTGCATATTCCAATAGTCCCACTCTAATCAGGTCGAATTTTGTGTGGCTGTTAGATTTGCCAATGTCCAAATGTAATTATTTCTGACTCTTGCTGATTTCTTTGCTGAATCTAAAGAGTGGCCTGAGGCAAAAACTACAAGTATTAGGCATTGTCCATAGTGACATATTTTTTACGGCCTTGTGCTGTGTTGGATTCGCAAAAATGAATTATTCAGTAGGCGGAGAAAACTGAAGCTGCATTATCACAGAGTCGACGACTGGGATAACCACAACCACAGCGATGGCTATAATTGAGGTCAGTGAAATCAAATCGCTTGGACAACGACAAGCACAGCAACAAAAAGAACATGTATATGGATGGCGACAGACATCTCGTTAGCACTTCAAAACTTGCAGTTAGGCAGCTTCTTCTGCTCAGCGGGCTGTGCGAAAACTGGCAAAACAACTTAGGCTTAGCCTAGCGTTGTGGACACATCGGACGATGCGCGTTTTGTCTTCATACATACAAGTATGTACGTACATACAAGTACAAGTGTGTGGGACGGTGGGCGTTGTATAGCTGGCCGACATTCAAAGGCGACATTTCCGTTTTCAATAAAATAGTAGAGTGGGCCCCAAAGAAACAAACAAAAAGTTGTAGCAAGCGATATGCAGTGCGATGAGTTGACAGTGATTGTCCGCCCTCGATGCTCGCTAAGTTCTTGACTAACATGAAAGCAATCTAACACCATTGTAGTTGCAATTTCCGCAAAAAATAGTTCTAAAAAATACTTGTAATTACAATTTTCTAAATCAATTGTGCGCCAATGCGTTTGCAATCAATTGGCAGGCGACTCCGTCAATGACATTGACAATGGGCCAATCTGTCGGCCACTGAGAGTACTCAGGTCGAGTATCGATGGGGAGAGAGTGCGGGTGGGTGCTGCCAAAAAAGTGACTATAAAAGCGATCAGATAGTGATGCAATCGCCACAATCTTTGAACAGGACGGGTTGCGCGCCACGTCAGTGCTTAGAAGTAGAATAACAAATCGGAGGCAGCATATGTTTGACTCGAAAATTAGGGTGCCCAAGTATAACTCGGATGCATTCGATAATGTCGAGTATGAGCTGCAGATGACCTATACTCTCGAAACGGATCGCCGCATCATGAGCTTCTTCGATGCCATGTGGGGAATTGAAGTGTCCGGGGGCAGTGACCAATTCGAGCCACTGACCATCATAATGTTTCGCCCACGGGGCTGGCTAAGAGAGCGGGCATGCGTATTGGGGATGAGATCACGCAAATCAACGAGTTCCGGCCCTGGAAATGACCTTTAACGAGGCCACTACAACTGTTCCGGAAGTCATCCCGTTATGTTCGCGTCTATGTTCGCGGGTGAGTATTGAGCTACAGTTTGTGGAGACGTGTCGACTCAGTTGCTTGCTATTGCAGAGATGATGATACTCCTGGCGAAGAGGATTGGACGTGCGATTGCTGGTTTAAGCCGCGCAAGCCCTGGCGACGTGACTTTACACCCATACAGTGGACTTTCCCATGGAATGATCGTCGCAAGCCAGTGTACAAGGAGTCGAACTGCTTCATGGTTCCCAGCAAAATGGAGGAGAAGATACGTCAGCGTCGTGCCGCCACATCAGCGGTCCACAAGAAGGAGGGGGCACCACACACACCCGCTCACTCACGCCCACGCCCAGGCCCAAGAACCAGCCAGGTCCCAATTTGCTCGAAAGTGTGCTACGGCCACGTGGTCCACCGCCTCGCGAGTAGTCGATCCCTAAACCTATACGGCACAGGTCTGTGAGGAGGCATCACGTCCGAATTCCCTTGCACTAGACGCAGATTCTGCAGCAGCTGATTGGCATCAGGTGCAAGAGTATCGCTACAGAATGTAGGCAGTGGTAGCATCTTGATTTGGATCCTGCAGTACATATCTGTGACTAACAATTTCTGCGTTAGCTGGAAAATAGATACGAGTACAAGCGCTACAGCAGCTGGCCTGCACCCATCTTTGCTGGTCAGCTGAGTGAGCGCGTGCCACTCGAAAGCGGCAGTTACTTATGTGCCAAGCAAGTATTAATGTAAAAATGAACATTCGAAAAAAAATAAATATAATAATACGATTAAAATTATAATAAAATGATTATTTTCTTTTCTATGAAAGCGAAAAATGCTGATGGTTCTTAATGGAAGTACGATGTTCGTTATACCATACATATACGTACACGTTTTCTTTTTTTGACACAATTACTTATTTCAAAATACTAGAAAAACTCGATATTTATTTTAAAGTACGTTTAAGAATTAACCCTGAAACACACAGGAGGATAAAGAAACAAGAGTGGGATCTAATTAATAACTTTGGAAATGAAAGAAAAGTCAAGAATCAACTACTCCTCTTTCTGAGT